CGACATTGTTTTTTTCAGTGAAGGCGGAGACGGCATCGTGGAGATTCCAGTGATGAGATTGAATAAAGGATTGAGCTTCTTCTCTCGACGAAGATGTGGTTTTAGTAAAGGAACTGATCAAATCCTCTCTAGCCTCCGTCGCCGGAAAGTTATCATCAGCCATCGCAAGATTCGGTTTCTTCTTCTCCGGTGAAACTAACGGAACACCTTCTCAAGTATCCTCTAAAAGACTTGAACAGAACAAAAATGCTTCGTTTTTATATAGTTCTTGAAAGAGGGAAACCAATCATTATATATATATATTATAAAAGATGGGTTCGTGTTGTTGTATGAGTGACACGTGTTTCTTATTTTTTGGAGTAAAAAAACAAAAGGTCACGACCATTTGATCATTCTTCCTTTCTTGGTTTTAGATTCATTGAATCATTGCAGTAGACGTATCTCTTCGGCTTTATAAATACCTGTCTCCTCTATTCCTTCCATTCACACTTCACACAATCCTAGCAAATCAACTATGATGGCAGTGATGGAGAGAAGAACAAATTACGAACAAGGAAAAATACACCAACAAAATTCAGTATCAATGAACAGAATGACAAAAGTGGCATTAGAGTTACCCGACCAAAACAAACGAAGAAAGAGATCGAGTAACCAAGGATTATCACATACAAGGAGATCGACTAGAAGTGTACCCAAGTAAAGAAGAAGAATCAAATTTCAGTSTAGAACGTATAAAAAAATAATGACGAAGTAACCGCGAAGACAARGAATTYACCAACAATGATCCCACAAACACCAATTTCATACGAAACTTGTCAAGAAGTTGTGTGGATAACAATAATTCCAAATCAGTAATGAGAAGAGAAAAACACAGTAGAAAATCAAYCCRATAAAGTCTGCACTAARGATAACAATAGCGAAAGAGAAATTATATCTTATAAGAACAAATCAAAARGAGATATCGAGCCATCAAGTATTACCATTGAGATTTGCAGTTTAGCCAAGGGAAATTAGGTTTCGGTGAGGATAGAAACATAATATGTCACAAATATATACATGAGAATCGATGAAGAAGAAGGAGAATTTTGATTTCTGAAGAATATATAAACTCCAATTCAGAAATCAAGTTTATGGTTTGGACAATTATACAGAAAAAAAGGAAAAAAGTTAACGAGGAAGAAGAAAAAATTCTCTCGGTGAAAGATCAAGTAAGAGAGATTAAAGTATGTAGTTCATTATTCAAGTAACAAATTTATGATATGTATTTTCTTTAAACAATTATACGAATTAAGCGGTTATGCAATTTTTGATAACATTTTTGATTTGTTAGTCTATTCTGTATATTAAGGGGTTATGCAATTTTTACTTAGTCAATTAAAAATAATATGAAGAAATGGCCAATAAATTATAGAAAGTTCTCTACCAAAAAATAAACGGTAGAAAGTTTATAAGCTTTTTAAAATTTTATATATAATTTATTTGTAGTTATATATTAAAATGATAACAACACATTTGGGCTTTAGTTCTTAAGATTTCACACAACAAATAATATTATAAACTCTATAAATAACATTATCATAAACACCATACAAGATTGAATTACACAAATATTAAATAGAATTATGAACAATATTGTCATGATTTACGGTTTACAATTGCAGCATTTGAAACATCTTTCGGTTTAAAATATACTTCCTTCGGTTCTCATAAAAGATGTTTGGGAAAATTCACAAATAATAGATTATTATAATTTATATTTTATCACTTATCAAGCATTTCAAAAAAAATGAAAAACTAATAATTAATAATAATAGAGTTAATTTTTTTTTCTAATTTGTGTGCAAAGTTCAAAACATATGTTTTTATGAAATTAAAGAAAATTATTTAAGATATTTGATGCATACAAATATACTTCACAATTCATACTGTGATATACGATAAGCTATCATTTACCATCTAAAATAATAAATTTTTAACTGGTTGTTCCAAAATTTTAACTGGTGTTCACAATTATTTTCTTCCTTTATCAATCATTTTTATAATTATAATAGTAAAGAAAATTTATAGTAGCCCACGCCAAATTTTTGTTTTGTCAATTTTTTTGAAAATATAATACAATTTTTTTGTAATAGTCTGCGCATATGCGAGTTATAAACCTTATTTTATTATATAGTAATGTTTTTTAAAATGTTAGAAAAATACAATCCAATTCATCTAGCCCAACATACATGCAAGATTGGCTATTTAGGAGAATAACTTAAATACGTTGAAAATTAGATGAGTGAAAGCAACTGGTGAGAGGAAAAAACGATTTTGGGATTAACGAATCCTGATAAGATAAATACGTAAATCTTTAGGTTGACAGTATTTTTAGTTAATATCCGGCTAATAATTAAGAATACTTTTTACATTACTAAATTATCTGGAAACCAATTTTGTTATCCACTGCCATAGTTAACCCTAGTCGCTATAGTTCATGCTAGCCACCACATTTAACGAGAATATACGGCTAACAATTAAGATTATTTATCGCCACAATTAACCCTAGTCGCCACAGTTCATCCTAGCTGCCACAGTTAACGAGAGAAATAGAGATGAGAGACAGAGGAAATAAGGGTAAGGTGGGGTTATTGAAAAAAAGAATAGTAGAAATTCCACCCACCTAATTAATCCATATAGTGTATATATGTAGTGCAAATTCCCATTCATCTATAGATTATTTACCGCTTATCCCGTTTACACTTCGAGGAACGAAGTATATAGGTTTGAACAATGAAATTCGTCTAATTATATTCTTAAAAAGATAATTAAATTATGGATGGCTAACTTAAGATTAACGTATCTATTTACTTTAAATCATACTAGTATATTGTATACATGTTAAAATAGTAATCTGTTCTTTCTCAAAATAAAATAAAAATAGTAGGTGTTATATTTAATTTTAAAGAAATACAACATATACATTTTTAGTAAGAAATTACGTGGAACATTATATCGATACAAATTAACATCGATTACAAATATAAGTTCTACATTGAAAAGTTTTTTTCTTCTCTAACGAATATCGTCTTTAGTCATTAATTGGTCAATTTCTTATAATGATTCAATAAGATTTTTATAAAATTGACGAATATACACACACACTGAGATTTTTTTTTTTCTTTCTCTAGAATCAAGTAAACAAATCGTTGACCGATGATCTGAGTCAAAAGTGAGGGTCAAACATTTGAAGACTAGTCTAGAAGAGGGGAAAAAGGTGAAAAGAATTTCTGTGATATTTACCAAATGTTGCCAAAGAAGTGAGTGATCTTATGTACTTGAGAGAAAAAAGGTTAGTATTTCTGGATGAGGACAGAGTTGGAGATGTCAGCATCCTCGATGGTCTGGTCCAAGTTAGTGAGTGGTCTAGGAGGAACCCCCATGCTGAGCAATTGGTAGTCTCTGGAGCCATCTGGTCTTGACTCGTCTATGAAGCCTCGGATGTCTCTAACCGTATGGTGAGTGTTGAAACGGGAGACAATGCTTGTTCCGTCTGCTAATCTGAGCTGGATCGAGGTAGTTGGCGCTGCGGGATCTACCACTAGGCTCACTGATGGTTCAGCGGAGACAGAGCCTGATCCTAGATTTATTCCTATGCCTTGGAACGAAGTAAACGGCATTGGTGATTCCTGTGGTTAAGATGTAAGAATAAGAGCTTAATAAACTTTACTGGTTCTCGATCTCTCAATTTGAATAAGAC